CCTGGTAGAACTTGTTTTATATGTCCCCTTAAAGCTTCATCCAAATTGCTCAGATGCGACTTCTTTCTGAAAATGACAAACGTACGTCGTAAAGATCTTGGGTTGGCATATTAGCATCAGTATTTACCATTATTAATATCAGTTAATGCCAAACTTATTTTTTTAGCTCATGTCTTGAACACCAGCTTGCTAATTACGCGTTGTCTAAGCAGTTGTGATGGAAACATTTTGAATTCTCACTAACTTCTTCTTGGATTAGCTGGTGTATCTGCCTATGTCCTTGATGTTTATGGATCACAAATATTGCTGACTATCTCAAAACTTTTTTCCCTTAGCAGAATTCATATACTTCCTTCACCTCCAAGCAATTGATGTTATCTTTAAATGAGCCTTTTCCGAACTTTGCATTATTGCCAGTGCACAGTGGCTTCATTAATAGCGCAGTTGTACACTAAGGGGAGGTGTCGGGTGTCGCGATTTTTCTCGGCTGTTATACAAGCAAACAAAAACTGCTCCACCCCCATTTCTTCAAAAAATTTTAATTAACAGCCCCATAATAAGTGGTTCTGTCTCATTATGATTTCAAAACAAAGTAGACAGCATGTATATTCTTTATTGGTGATTGGAACACATCACAAATAATGAGAAAATACTCAATATATATATATATATATATTTCATAGAACGGATATCTGTTCAAATACTTGTATAACTATGCTTAATGTTTGAGTACTTGAGATGTTGGACGAATGCCCCGATTCTCATGACCATTCCGACTTTGCCGCTAATCGCAAATTTTACTCCACGGTCTTCAAAGAACACAAAATGCTTGCTGAACACGTGCCGGACAGCATACACGTTCACGCATTTAGCGATAGGTAAGAAAAACTAGTAGTTTTTCTAATTCTCATCGAATCTCTGTTGTAGACTCAATGTACTTCATGTGCTTATAATGGGACCATCCGGGACACCATTTGACAGCACACCTTTCTATTTTACATTCGTACTTGGTAGTGATTATCCGGAGAAACCGCCTGAGGCACGTAATTTCAAATGTACATTCCTATTTCAATAATATCCATATATTCAGGTTACATATGTGGCTTATTCACAAGAGCAACTCAATCCCAATCTTTATCAAAATGGAAAAGTCTGCACAAGTTTGCTAGGCACGTGGTCTGGTCAGGTGTGTCGCTTTGAAACATCATATCATTTCCCTTTTCCTTAAAATTTAATCTCTCTTTTAGGGTGTCGAAACATGGAATCCCGCAAAATCGAATATTCTGCAAGTTCTGCTGTCAATTCAAGGTATTTATTCCGTTTCAACCCTGTAGTGGACCTCAAAGCAACAAGCTTGAAATGTTTTAGCTTTGATCTTGGTACCTGAACCATACTACAACGAAGCTGGGTATGAATCCCGAAAGCAGCAAACGGAAATGGTTGACCGTTCGAAGCGATACAATGAAACAGCTACAATAAACTCCCTCGAGTATCTTCTTAA